ACACACACACACACACACACACACACACACACACACACACACACACAAGAATATCTAGTTCCCAAAAAGGTAAAATTCATAATGTTTGGGATCCAATTATCTGGTATGTGAAGGAGCAAGAAAACACACCCCAAATGAAGAGAAAATGTAATAAATTGAAAATAACCCAGAATTAACACATTTCATAGAATTAGTGTTGCAAGGTTCTTAACTATTTGTGAAGTAGTATAGTATATAGATGTATATCATTGAATCTAAAGCAATCACTTAAACTACAGCTAATATATATATATATATATTTATTTTAAATAAATACATGTATATTTAAGATTTATTTATTTTAGAGAGGGGATGGGGCAGAGGGAGATGGTAAGAGTCTTGAGCAGACTCCACACTGAGTGCAGAGCCTGACACAGGGCTTAATCTCATCACCCTGAGATCATGACCTGAGCCAAAACCAAGATTTGGTTGCTTAATTGTGCCACCTAGATGCCCCTCAAAAAACTATAGCTAATAAGCCAAAAAAGGAGACAGAATAGAATAATAATAAAATATTCAGTTAATCCAAAAGAAGACAGGAAAAGGAAAAGGGGAATAAAGAAAACGTATGACAAGTAGAAAACAAATAGCAAGGTGCTAGATAACTACATAAGTAATCACATTAAATGTAAATGGTGTAAACACCATAATTAAAAGGCAAGATTGACAAATTATAGACAAATAATGAGACATTGCCTACATAAAATGCCACATACAAGAAATCCACTTTAAACATAAAGATTCAAATAAGTTAAAAGTAAAAGGATAGAAAAAGATGCCATACCCAAAGAAAGCCTCAGTGACTATATTAACATCAGACAAAACAGATTTCAGAGAACAGGGACAGAGAGGTTTATTTCAAAATGATTAAGAGGTTAGTTCGTCAAGAGAACATAACAATCCTAAAAGTGTATGCACCTAATAACAGAGCTTCAAAATAAGTGGGGCAAAAACTGATAGAATGAAGGGAGAAATAGACAAATCTACAATTATACTTTTGGAGAGTTCAATATTCCTCTCAATAACTGAGAGAAGAAGTAGACAGGCAATCAGGATATGGAAGACTTGGCTAATACTACCAACCTAATTAACATTTATAGAACATTCTACCCAACAACAGCAGAAAAACACTTTTTTTCCATGTGCCAAGAACATTTACCAAGATAGACCATATTCTGAGCCATAAAACATGTCTCAATAAATTAAAGAGGGTCCAAATCATACAAAGTGTGTACACTGACCACAGTAAAATTAAATTAGAAGCCAGTAAAAAAAGGTGTCTGGAAAATCCCCAAATATTTGGAAACTAAATAACACACTTCTTAATAACCAAAGGGTCAAAGGAAAATTAAAAAGTATTTTGCCTGGTAAGGATGTGGAATAAGAAATCTCATTCACTGATAGTGGGAATGCAAATGGTACTGCTACTTTGACAGACAGTTTGGCAGTTTCTTACAAAACTAGACCTGCTCTTAGCATACAATCCAGCTATAATGCTCCTTGGTATTTACCCAGCTGAGTTGAAAGGTTATAATCACAGAAAAACATGCATATAGCAGCTTTATTCATAATTGCCAAAACTTAGAAGTAACTGAGATGTCCTTTGGTAGGCGAATGGATAAATAAATGGTGGTACATCCAGAAAATGGAATATTATTCAGCACTAAAAAGAAATGAATTGTCAAGCCGTGAGAAGACATGGTGAAAATTTAAATATATATTACTAAGTGAAAGATACGATTTCAATTATATGACATTCTGGAAACTCTGGAGATAGTAAGAAGATCAGTGGTTTTCAGGGACTTGAGAGAGGAAGGATGAATGGGCAGACTTCAGAGAATTTTTAGGGCACGAAAGTATTTGTATGATACTATAATGGTGGATACATGTCATTATACATTTGTGCAAACCCATAGAATGTACAACACCAAGAGTGAACTCTAATGTAAATTGTGAGCTTTGGGTAATAATGTGTCAGCGTAGGCTCATCTATTATAATAAATGTACCACCTGGCTATGAGATCTTGGTAGTAGGGGAGGCTGCGTGTGGGGGGGGGGATGGCGGGGGGCTGGGCAGGGAGTATATAAGAAATTTCTGTACTTTCTGGTCAATTTCATTGTGAGCCTAAAACTGTTCTAAAAAGTAAAGTCTATTGAAAATATTGGGAAAAAATATTTTGAGTTGAATGAAAACAAAAACACAACATACCAAAATTTGTGGGATGTAACTAAAGAGTACTCAGAGGGAAATTTGTAGCACTAAACTATATGAGAAAAGAAGAAAACTTTCAATTCAATGACCTCAGCTTTCGCATTAAGAAACTAGACAAAGAAGAGTAAAATAAACCCAAAGTCAGCTGAACAAAGGGAATGAAAAAGATAAAAGCAGAAATCAATAAAATGTAAAACAGAAAAACAAAAGAGAAAGTCAATGAAAAGCTGTATTTTTTAGAAGATGAATAAAATGAAGGCTACTTTGGTAGATTCTACAGACAAGCTCCTGTCCACATAGGTGGAGGAGGGGACTTGCAATGCCTTCTCACACCCAAGAAACATGACAAAAGAGGTCTCTGGGTAATGAGAAATACCCACTACCATCCTATATGCAGGTGGTGATCTTCTTCCAAAATTAAGTAAGATCTGTGTTCTTCAGTGAGGGAAAAATATAGGATTTCTTTTTTCATCCAGGAAACTTGTTCTTACCTAGTCCTTTGAGAAGTCTCTATATATACTTGCAAGCTCTGAGTCTTTACTTTCCCCTCTAAAATATGGTGCCTTCATGTCTACTATCCCAGTTAAGTCCCTCAAAGATGGTGCCAGGCATGTATGGAAGCCCCTCAGGAGGGCCAGCTTCTCAGCTCTCTTTCTCCTCATCTCCACCCCAGCAAACCTAGGGCAGCTGCTAACAGGGCCTATGTAGACTGCAGCAAGAAACTGCACCGTGGAGAATTCTGGACCTGGTAACCAAAAGCAACACATTACAAAGACCTCTTGGTTTAAAAACATTCACAACCTGAATCTTTCCAGGTGATTTATTGAGAAACCTCCTTAGAAAAGGAGTCAAACTAAAAATGAATTTTCTCCATTCCTAATTTTTCCCGGAAAATGAGGAGATTTATTTAAAAGAATTTGTGGGCAATGCCATATTTAGGAGGAAAAGCTAAGAAAGCTCCCTTTTAATTCCCCAAGTGTGCTTTTCAAGATGCAGCTTTGCTCTTTAAACTATAGAGGTGAGTAGATCCCAATGGGGAGAGCTGAAGCTGCCGCATCCCTCTGCCATGGCTGATGTCACTAATTGATTTTAGCATCTCTTTCTTGAAGGGCCCTTGGCCTCACTCTCTCTTCATTTGCTTCTTTAGGCAGTCATTACTACCGGTGCAAAACCTATGCGCCACCCCAGGCCAGGCTTTCCGGGTACCCACCCGGTGTGGTGAAGCCAGTGTGATTGCAAGCATCCATAGATCTCAAGAGAGAATTCTTTGTTCTGCACTTTACGCTTTAGTAAGAAAGAGTTCCTCAACCACTGGCAGATCATATGTAGCTGGGACGGGGGACTGGGGTAAGCCTTGGCACTGTTGTGGGTGTGCAGGATCAAGGACGACCAGAAACCTCCTGGGAGGGATGTTGTGGGTAGGAAGGGCTTTGGAGGGCATCTGGAAAAAACAGCAGCTGTCTGGGGGCTAGTAGTCCGCATGTAGCAGGAATTACTGCCACGGCTGGGGGGGGAGGTGCTTGCCTCCCTGCAATAGGTTCGACAGCTACGGACACCGCCGACCCTATTGGGTTAGACAGCCTACTACACACTCAGGCCCTCGTGTCCCACAGGACCTCAAAATGAAAGGGGCCCGATGACGGGCAACGTGGGTGGCAGGACACCAATTCCAGAGGGCAGTGGATTCTCTTTATCAGCTGCAGTTCAACCCCACGGAGGGGTCAGGGGGAAAGTAAATCCTAGAGTTGCTAGCACACTTGGTGCCACGTTGGGTCTTTGTCACTGATGTCTGTGATTGGCTTTGCTCTTG